TTGTCTTTGCTGGAACTTCTGTCGTTTTATCTGCTAATTAAAGGAACGTCTGTTTCTTGGCAGCCTTTTACAACCCTGAAAGGCGTGCTCTTATCTCAGACAATTGTTTTTAATGAGTTTTGGCTGGGAATGCAAATAATTCCCAGTGTCGCATTAAAAAAGGTTTGCTTTTACACACAGTGTGCGTTTTCTTAATTTGAACGAAGCCTGGGTCAGAATACACACACCATTTTGTGACATTATATGTAATGAAGGACTTTTTGTCTGATAATCGTAGGGAATCCTAAAACTGATTGGCCTGGAAGAAAAGATGAAATGGGGAAAGATGGAAAAGGTGTAATGTACTTTAGGTGTGCTTGTAGTTTCTATAAAATATATAATAAAATAAAACATGAACATTTTCTAGCGTTCTTCATCCAGGGAGGTTGAACATGTACAGCTAGGTCTTGATTTACAACCACAATTGAGCCCAAAATTCTATTGTTAAGCGAGACATTCATTAAGCGAATTTTGTCCTATTTTATTATCTTTCTTGTTAAGTTAGTAACATAGTTGTTAGGTGACCTTGGCTTCCTCATCAATTTTGCTTGTAAAAAGGTGCCAAAAGGTGACCACATGAACACGGGGCACTGCAATCGCCATAAGTAGGGTCAATTGCCATATGTCTGAATTTTGATCACATGACTATGGGTATGCTGTAACGGTCATAAATATGAAAAACAGTCGTGTCACTTTTTCCAGTGCCATTGTAACTTTGAATGGTCATTAAATGAACCGTTGTAAGTCAAGGACTCCAAGGACTGTATGTTCCCTATATGGGATGACTCAGAGTCTGCTCTGCACATAAATCTTATTTTGGTCTTGAATGTTTAGGAAGAAGAAGAAATGAAACATAAAGTGGTTGACAGGTTTTCCTTAGAGATCTGCTAAACTGCTGACTTCCTCTGTGAGTCCAACTCTTGTTTATGACTCTCATCCTCAATTTGCTACCTTATTTGGCTGGGTTATGATGTAAGGAAATAAAAATCCTGGGAAGAAACCAAGGAAACATATCTTGAGGGGGATGGTTTCCTTCTGCCTCAAGGACGAACCCTTAATCTAATCAGTCACTGACCAGGTTATATTCCTGATCCTTTGGTTTGGCAACATACAATCATGTTAATAGATGAAGAGACACTGTCTGAGGGAAGACAGGCCCACTTTTGCCTCCCATGAGTCCTTGTACCAGTAGACCATTAGCAATGGCCTCTTCTCCATTGGGCAGGCAGGATGCTATGTGGGTAAGCAGGAGTGTGTTAGTCCTTGTCAATGAATCTGTAATACAAATCCTGCCTCTCTTTTTCTTGGAATAGTTATTGGGAAGGAAATTCAAGGGGAGGTATGGTGAATTGGAAATAAGGAGAAACTTTCTGACAGTGAGAACAATCAACCAATGGAACAGCTTGCCCTCGGAAGTTGTGGGAGCGCCATCACTTGAGACCTTCAAGAAGAGATTGGACTGCCATTTGTCAGTAATGGTTTAGGCCAGTCTTCCGCTTGGGCGGGGGGTTGGACTAGATGACCTACAAGGTCCCTTCCAACTCTATGTTATCTGAATTGAAGATGGCCCTGAAAGTAGAGTCAATGACCAAAGAAAAAGCAAGGAACTGCTGTTCTTTGGAGAATCTCAGAATAAAGAGAGCACGGAAGATCACTCATGGTTGCTTCTCATGAGGAGACCGCAGGACAGTGGTTTCTGTGGGTTTGAGCATTGGGAAATGGCAGAATTAGCCATCCTGCTTATAACCATGATAGAGATATTTAAAAGATACTAAGTTTGCAAACCTCACTTTCTAATCACTCTAAAATTGCTCATTAGCTACTTCTATGCTATTAGAAACATTTGGTCTGATAAGTCTGAAAATGCCAAGTGAGTCTGTCATCAATCCTAGATGAAATAACATTTTAATCATAAGCCTAAGAATTATTTCATGAAATAACCAGCTAAAAGCTAAAGCAGATTTTGAGCTTATAAAGTTATCAACAGATTAAAGGTCCAGGTAAATTTGAAATATTGAAACTTTTACAGTATGATTTTGTAATTAATTACAAAGAATAAACAACTTCTTGTGGGAAATAGCTTCTGTTTTGGTATTTACAAGACAAAACAAAGATCAGACAATACTGAATGAACCAAAGTTAAAAGGTTTATGGTTAGAAGTAAAAAGAAATATAACTTTGTTTATGTGATCAAAATTAAAACAAAATATGTTATTTCCTCTGACAGCCCTATGCACTTTCTGCTCATATCAGATCTGAGAAGCTGATGTCTTATTAATTTGTTTACAAAAAGGAGATGGGATATGGGATAATCAGAAAAATGTAGCCTGAGAGAGTGAAGAGTCATTAAATTTGTTTGTAGTCGAGATAAGGTTGGAAGTCACTTCTTTATATATTTCTTTTCCGATGATATTCTTAGTTTTTCTTCTTCCTCCTTTTTCCTGCACTTTTTACTCTGTCCTCTTTTCTTTAAGTTTAGTTTGCATGTATATGGTTTATACACACACCCCAACATACACATATATACTCTGTGTGTGTGAGAGAGGGAGAGATCCTATTCCCCAGTTTGGCAATTTTTTTCTGCTCCAGCACCTTCATGGTAAGTATTTCTTAATAGGCTGGCTAGCTGTTCATATCAGTGCTGAAGCTTGTGAATTGGGTGCTTTTAACTCTTGAAAACTTTTAAGGACTCATTTTCTGCCTGTAGACTGTAAAACGAATACAGTAATGATGTTATAGGCAGCTTGTTCTACAGGGATTTCAGTTGCTGTTTGTGGGCCCACCATTTAGAGTTTGGGAAAACAGATGTATCACTTTTCACATAAGCAGGAAGATGCACGGCAAGGCACTTCCCTCCTCCCACCCTCGTTTCTTGGAAATTCCTCATCACCCTCCTGCAAACCTTCCTTGGCATCCTTGTCAGGATAAAAGTAAGTGTTTGAACTTGACCTCTGTCCTCAAATGACCGGCTCCTGAAAGCACTTGTTGGAATCCTGCATCAGACAGTTGAGAATGCAACTATGCTATGAGGGAGACGGGCAGTCTCTAAATGTGATACCTAAATTTAAAAAAAAAACCTATGGTTACATCTGCGCTATTTCATATGGAAAAGTAAACAAAATAATTAGGAAGTCACATAAGTTTCTCTGGGCAGAGGCTCAAAGAACGCAACCTTGTGATAATTCCATTGAATTATAATTGACACAAGCAATGTGGGGAGGTAGTTTTTAAATATTTTAAGGGGGAAGTATGAAATTGCACACCAATGACCTCCTTTCTTTTAATATAAGCCAGCCTGGTTGAAGCAGGTCTGCCTTAGGGCACTTAGGGACCAGAATGAGGTAGTGAGGCAGATCCCATTATTGTGATATGGGCCTCTGAAGCATGTGGCTTCTCTAAGTTCTAACTCTCAACCTGCAAAATGCTTAGGAAAAAAAGAGAGAGAGAAGCTCCTGTCCTTGCTTCCAACATTCAAAATGCTAAAAACACTGCAAAGAAACCGAACTCTTTATTAACGCTCTAAAAGGAGAGGAGAGTTTTTTTAAAAATAGAATAAAAACAGTTATTGATGGTTCTATTTTGGGCTCCATGCCACTTCCTGCTAGTGTCAGCTCCTTTGGGTAAGATGTCCCTGGGTGACCCGTTTGCTCTTTTCTTCCGGAAGACCTCAATTGAATTTGAGCAGTGTGCCTAACCTCAGTTCCACCCCAATGTTCCACCCCAACTTCCATCATCCCTAGCCAGCATGGCCACCCGTTACCATAGCATTAAGAATGCCATAGTAATTGGAAGCCCAAATGGTACTTCAGCCACATGAAGGAGGCAGCTTTGTCTCTACTGCTTGCACATTTGGAAAGGGCAGGTGATCAACCACCAGCAGCAGCAGCACAGCCAAGAGCTTGAGGATTAGCTACGGCTCCAAGATTGAATGGCAGTAGGTGTTACTGTTGTACAGCAGCAATGTGGTTGCTTTATCCAAAGGCGATAGTGCATGTACAGGGAGTCTGTTTTCATCACTAGTTCTGATCAGTCTTCCAGGTTTCAATTTAGAAAGCTTAGATGTAGTCTAAAACATCTGGAGAGCCTGAAGTTGGCATAAGCAAGAAGTATGCATGCTACAGCAGTGCAGGCTATTGCAACAAGAGCTACACAACTCTGGGGAAACATACAGCTGTTTTAAAGTTGCAAGAAGGAGCTACTTAAGCTTGCACCCTTCAAATAATCTTCAGAGCATTGCACAGCCCTAATAGACACATTAGTGACGATGCAGCTAGAAGCAAGTTTTTTTAAAAAGCATGCTGCTTTTCAAAACTAGAATCATTTAATGCAGGGGTGTCAAACTCCCAGCCCAGGATGCATCACGTGCTGGCCCCACCCCCATCGGTTTAGCAAAGGGGGGGGGGAAGTCCCGTTACATCACATGACACTGCTGTGATGACGTGAGTTTGACACCCCTGATTTAGTGTGATTCAGTTACATCCTGTTCATAAAAACTATAGGAAGTTGTAGCTAACAGATTTTAAAGCTATGACTTGGGTACTCCTGAGGCAAAGCTTTGGAAATAGTTTCATAAACATTGACAGTTACTCACTATGAAGGTAATTGCAACACCTGTTGTTAAACTAATTTCAGTTTTCTACACATTTACACGAAATTCCACAATTTTAATAATTAAAATGCAAAACCAAAGGGGAAAAATTCTGTTCAAACAATATTTCAGACTCATTTATTTACAGATAAAAGATATACAGTTCCTTTTAACAGTAGTTGTCCATTTTGTTCTAAGAGCTGTTTACAAAGTAATTCCAGGATGAAGTCTCTCCCAAAGGCTGCATCAGAAAACAATCATTCCTTATCGGCTTTACTAAATTGTCTCTTTCAGACTACAATATTCAGCACAGTTCTTTCTTTCCATGAACACATTTAATATTCTCAGAAACTTTAATTTCTTGTGGTTTTCAGGGAACCAGATATTACATGCCCACTTCATTATTTGAAATGAACAATAACATGAACTTGAGCATGGTATGCCAAGAGATATACACCCTACAGATACATAAGCTGACACAAAAGATTACTGCAGTGTAAAAGCATCTATACTGTGTGTAAGTAGCACAACAGTTCTGTTTATCAAAAGCTGTCTCGAACAAGTAACCTTGTAAGCAGCTGCCCTGATCTAAAGCTCCCCTCTAAGAGAAAAAGAAATATCTAAAACCAGAAGACCCAATCTCCCCTGCCAACTTTCAAGCTAGCAATCTGCCCCGCTCTGCAGGACATTTGGACACTTCTCTCCATGAAATATACATCTTCATTACAATAAATACATTTCCAAGTTATAAAAAAATAGTACAATAAGGAGGTTTGGCCCCAACGAAGTCTAAAATCAAGTTCATTTTCCACTAAAAGCCCAGCCTATGAGGAAACACGAAGATACTATGACTAAGGCTGGAGGAACTTTTGAAAACCTTTACATGGGCAGCATCAACTTGTGAGGTAGAGCAAAGCTCATAGTATTGTAGTCATGGCCTCGCTTTGGATGAAACATGCAAAGAAAAACCTATTTTATCTTCATTTCCCTTCAACAATTCAAAGAACACTGTTAATTGGGCTAAAAGTGCAAATAGCAGCAGCCCCACTTGCCTAAACTCTAAAGTAAGCCCTATTAAATTTAGTAGGACTTAAATCTCTGGAGTGTACAAATGAGACTAGGAAATATTTTTCAACCAGCTTTGAATCGCCAGCAGGTGGTAGAATAGCAATGGGTCTCTCTCCAATTTCTACTCAAGGCTAGAAATGTGGCTGGAATCCAATGCTACTTAAACTGTAGTTATATTACCGTTGCTCCACTACTTTTCTCTCCCAAGGTCTACATCTACAGGTTTTTAAACCTGAATTCAGTTGCTCATGTAGTCATGCATGTCATCCTTGGTTAAAAAGTGTTCATCCAATTCATTTTTGGTGAATACTGTCAAATTCATTATTGCACCAAGGGTTCCTCAGCAGGATATATACAGGGCAGGATAGAGATCAGAGCTTCTTCAATCGAGAACAGATGTTCATCCTCTACTTGAGGGCAACGGTAGCGCATGAAGTCTGCCAGCCGCAGAAGGTACTCAATGTTGTGGCCGGCCCGCCCACTGGAGACAATGATTTGAGCAGCAATATCCTCTTCAGATGCCGGCCCCAAATAGGAAGGATTCTGGGGGGTTGCAATGTAAACAAGAGCTAGAACAGGTTCGTCTGCCTCTTCTTCCTGAGGATAAAACTTCACCAGCTTGGTGTCATAGCCTCCAAGCACGGCTTCCCGTATGTTCAAATACTTCAGGACAGCAGCAATTTGAAGCCCATGAAGTTCATAGCCAACACCCCACGTGCATCCCTGCAATCAGAAATCAAATTACAAGTTATTCACAAATGTCTGCGTCATTAAATAATTACTTATCTCCATAACCTATACAAATAAGCAAATGCAAAACTTAAAAAAAAAATGTTTTCTGCCATGTTTCATCACATTTCTAAACAGTATCCGGTCAGTTAGGTTAAAGGTCAGGCTTGTGATGAGAAAGAGTTCTGAAATAGCTACTCGTTCCTTCCAAATGAGTTGTCCACACACGGAGCGATCGATACTGTTCACTTTTGCAAAAGGGCCAGCATGATCCACATCATAGCCACGTGCCAAATTCTTTTCAGCAGTTGCTACCTTAGCATCTCCAAAATTGTCAAGATCTGAGTTTTGTCATTTCAATTATATTCACAAATATTGGCTAGTCTCCTAGATAAGCACTGCTCTACTGACCAAATAACCACTCATCCAAATGATAATTGGATAATTACAATTGAATTGCAATTGCTGCAGGTCAAGTAACAGAACCTCTAGTTGCAACTATACAATTCACTCTCCATCTTTCCCCTACAGTTAAACAAGGTGGGTAGTTTAAAATAAAGGTAGTGCTCGGCTTACAACAGTTTGCTTAGTGACCGTTCAAAGTTACGACACTGAAAAAAGTGACTTATAACCATTTTTCACAGAACCATTGTAGCATCCCCATGGTCACATGATTTACACTTGGATACTTGACAACCGACTCACATTTATGACGGTTGCAGTGTCCAGGGGGTCTTTGCAACCTTCTGACAAATCAACTCAATGGGGAAACCAGATTCACTTAAGCGCCATATTACTAATTTATCAATTGCAGTGATTCACTTAACAAATGTGATAAAAAAGGTCATAAAATGGCGGCAAAACTGACAACACATTTCTCACTTAGCAACATAAATGTTTGGCTCAATTGTGGTCATAAATTGAGGACTCCCTGTAATTGCTTGGTTTTTTTAAGCCTTCTCCCCTCCCTCTAAAAAGGAACTTCGATTAGGCTTAGGCTATTGATATGCATGCCAACTGCTTAAGAATGCAGGCACAAAATACTCACATTATAATCTTCCTGAAGGGTGGCCACTCTTCCAGGCTAAGGGGAGGGAGAGAAAGAGGCAGTTTTAATATGTAATACTGTACTCTTTTGCAGACCAACATCAGAAGCACCAACTTCTACCATCTCAAGGAAGCAGCACTGGTGTGCACAGTCCAGAAGTTCCCTACGCCCTGGGCATTAAAAACTAATGTGGGAGGCTCTCCAAATTCTGCACAACAGTGTCAAGCCAAGGGTAATCAATAGACTCCACATCTGTGGAGCCACATCAGTTGAACCTACAATTTATTTTATTTTATTTTATTTTGTCAAGCAATTATAAGATAACAGGTATAAGTATAAACATGGTAATAAACACATGAAATGTATACAAACAAAAGAAACAATAGGACAGGTAGGCATGTTGGTGCGCTTATGCACTCCCCCTACAGACCTCTTAGGAAAGGGGTGAGGTCAATAGTAGACAGTCTAAGGTTAAAGGGTTTGGGGTAGAAACCACAGAGTCAGGTAGAGTATTCCAGACATTGACCACTCTGTTGCTGAAGTCGTATTTCCTGCAATCAAGTTTGGTGCGGTTAACCTTGAGTTTGTATCTATTGTGTGGTCTTGTGTTGTTATTGTTGCAGCTGAAGTATTCATTGACAGGTAGGACATTGCAATAGATAATTTTATGTACCATACTTACCAGGAACACAACAAATTCTTGGTTTCTCTGTTATTTTCCCCCGGCCCCACAGCCCATCCCACCATCCCTTTCCACTGGATGGAAGGGATCTCTCATCCCAGGAGAAGCATCTCATCTCTTAAAACAGGGGTCTCCAACCTTGGCGACTTTAAGCCTGG